GCAAACATTTGTAGAGTGGTAAGTAATTCATGAAGGAAGATAGTCATTAGATAGAGTCGATATTTATGTAATTAGATTTTCATTATAAGCTCGTAAGAGTTCTAAATTTTCACACAACAACAATCTGTTGAACAACAGGTTGTTATTTGAGGCTATTTTACTAAAAGTTTTCATCTTCAAATGTTCCTCTGTGTAGCAGATCATTTATCAGGCAGGCGGTAGCACTGCCAAGGTATGGATGGCTCGGATTGTTCTTTGAAATGGTATTTTAAATATCTCCTCAATATGTCATCAGAACTTTACGATAATATATGGTGTTAACTTTTATAACAGTATACATGTCATGACTGAGTCACAAGTTCTGGGAACGTCTGTATATATCATAGTAAAAAGTTTGAATTTATTGTTCTTCTTTCTTTTGCTTCTTTTATATTACATGATAACTCAAAAACTAAAAATAATGGTGTCAACCAATTTCAATGAGGTGACAAAGTTTCAAATGGAGTATCCGCTTTAATAAGTATTAATAACTGGTAGTAATTTTAAAAAAATCATAATTCTAGTGTAAACGATGGTTTCATTACCCCTTGAAGTTATCTTTCTTACAGAAATCGGTGTTCATTTAAAAAGCTTAAGTACATGGTGAAACAGGAATTACCAGCCAATAATAAACAATGAATATTTCAGCTGGAGCCTCATTGTATTTAAAATTTTGTTACAAATACAACCTTCCTATGTCTTTTTGTAACACTGCATTAAAGACAAGTAAAGAAAAACTTTTCAAAAAAGGAAGTAAATGTAAGGATGGCTAATATCAATCCTTCAAAAACAATGAAAACAAGATAGTATGAATTGTATTTGCATCATCCCTACACAATAACACAGGAAAAAATTAACATATAGTAATATATATATAACTATTCATTCACAATCGAGTTTAATTTATTCTATTTTTCCTGTTAACATTCTACTACACTGTGTGCCTGTAAGGATGATGTAAATGCCATCCCTACCACCTTGTTTTCATTGTTTTTGAAGGACTGATATTAGCCATGCATACACTTACTTCCTTTTTTGAAAAGTTATTTCTGTACTTATAAATTTTATTAACCGTGCAATACATCAGTTTGTAAGTTTTATGTTTACCAGTTGCTTATTGTTACATGCTAGTTGAGTTGTTCTTCAGAACCCATATTCAAATATATTCTGTACATTTTTCATGTTATGATAAACATTCGCTGTATTTTTATTAAAATGCTACACATTCTGTAGCGTTACAGTACCTAAACTGAAGAGATATCTTACAAATTTCCTGGAATTCCTGATCTTACTCTAGTAACAACTTTATGTGCATTGTTTACATAGTAAAACCTATAACAAGATTTTATGAAAAAACAAATTAAAACATTGCTCTTTCCCCATTTTACAGATATAATTCCTATCGTCTTACCTCGTCATTAAACGAGGCTGAGCTACAGTCCCTTAAAACTTTGTCTAAAAACAAAGACATTCTTGTTACTAAACCAGACAAAGGTAATGGTATTGTCATTATGAAAAAAGCTGACTATATTGATAAAATAAACCACCAGCTCAGTGACACTTGTAAATTTAAAAAACTAGATACAGACTTGTTATCTCTAACTTTTAAGAGAGAAGATAAGATCCTACGTTTGCTCAAGTCTCTCAAAAGTTAAAATATTATCTCTGAAATGACATTTCAACAAATTGCCCCATGTGGTACCAAACCCGGTATTCTTTATGGCATACACAAAGTACTCAATACTAGATACCCTCTCCACCCTATTCTCTCAACTGTAGGCTCTTGGAACTACAACCCATCTACATTTGTCGTTCCTATTCTTAAACCCCTTACCTTGAACGAATTTACTATTACCGACTCTTTTACATTTGCTTCTGAAATCTCTAAAATTCCCTCTGCTGATACATATGTTATGGCCAGTTTTGATATTGAATCTCTATATACCTATATCTCCCTTGATGAAACTTTAAATTTAATCGTGGACCTTCTCTTTCCCACTGACACTAAATAGTATCTTGGTTTCACCTGTAAACAATTCTTGGAACTTCTTGTCCTCTCTACAAACTTAAAACATTCCATTTTTAATGACATCATTTATGACCAGGCTGATGGAATCGCCATGGGATCTCTGCTGGGTCCGACGATAGCCAATAGTTTTCTATGCTATCATGAACGCAAGTGACTAGAAAACTAACCAGGTGAATTCAAACCTGTCCTTTACAAACACTATATTGATGACACTTTCTTGCTGTTTCAACAATCAAGCCATGTTTCCAAATTCCTTTCTTACCTTAATTCCCACATTCCAATATCAAGTTCTCATCCGAACTCGAGGATAATGAGTCTTTACCTTTTCTAGACGTCAGGATTACCAAAGAAGGTAAACACTTTTCTACATATGTTTATCATAAAAGAACTTTTACTGGTCTCTACACCAGTTTCAATGGTTTTATCCCCAACTTCAAACTTAATCTGGTTATATCATTGTTGAACAGAATTTTTAATCTTTGTTCTAGTTATTTTATATTACACGAAGAAATTACCCTTCTACATAAACACATGTTAAATGATGGCTATCCGATTGATTTTCTAACGAAGATTGCACGCAACTTCTTAAACAACAAATTCCAACTACCAGCCAATGTACACACCGTCCCCAAATTTCCCCTCATCATCTCCCTTCCTCTTATTGGTTCGCAATCCCTGCCAATCAAAAAATAACTCTCCTCTTTAATAAAAAAACTTCTATCCTCAAATTCAGCTTAGAATAATATACAGACCTAATCTCCACATTAAACTCTTATTTCAGTACAAAGATCAAGTACCTAAACTTTTACGTTTATGGCTCGTGTATAAATATACGTGTAGTGACTATAAGGTCACGTACATTGGTAGAACAAAACGGCACTTAGAATGTGAACATTTAGGAGTATCTAACAGAACTGACCAACCACTACTTAAACCCAGGCACTCATCCATTCGTTCACATTCTGAAACCACAGGTCACAAAATTTCACTTAACGATTTTCTATCATCACCACAAGATCTTCAGATCTTGACCTCTACATTAAAGAAAGCCCGACCTTTAACGAATCACAAAGCTCTTTAGATCTAACATTGTTCTAAATTTTCACACTTAAATAATCTGTTGTGTAATATATATATATATATATATATATATATATAAACATTGTTTCATCCGTCCATTTACTGCTTTTCTTAATAACTAAGTAAACAAAGGACTATGTTGTCATATAATTTTAGTAATAATCATCTTTGTAACACAATTTTCAAATTTCGCTGAAGATGGAATAAGTTATTCCGAAACGTTCGAACATTGTAAAAAAAAAATGTTTTAAGTTTTATCAACCGTCTTTCCCTTCATTATTAAACTTCAGTTTCCCCATCATAAATCCATTGCCAGTGAGATATAGTATCTGTTATTTGATATTAATCATGAGTCTGAATTCACGCAGTGTCTAGTAGATGTTTATATATAAAGTTGCTGTACACATTGTGCTCAATATATATCTATTGATTAAGTAGTCATTTTGTTCCCTCCTTACAGTGATAAACAAGTTTATGAAGTTGAACAATTGTTTAGTATTAATGTTTATGAGCTTGGAGTTCTGCTATACCTACAGTATAATATAATCATTGAAAAGCTTAAAGTTTTCTAGTGCTTATTGTGCAAGATGTATTTATAGGCGTTTGGAGTCATATAGTATTCCATACATGTCTGTAGGTCAGGAGTTAGGCATTACTAACTAGATAATATACACTGTTACGAGTTTGAAGTCATACAGTACCATTTTCGCTGTAAATATGTCTATAATTTTAGATTAAGAAATATCAATTATTATAAAGAATACTTTTTCATATCTTTGTACTCGTTAAGTACCCACTGTACACATTTTTAAAATTTCGGAGTCATTCAACGCATATTTTACACTAAACGAGTATATAAATTTGAAATTAGATCGTAATTTGCTGTACATTATTATTTAAAGTTGAGTCATGCAGTACTAATTGAGTTTTATAAATATTTATAATTGTTGGGTCGTTCAGTATCCACTGTATACTATACAACATCAAAAATGCATAGTAATTTGCTACTTACTGTATGCTATAAGTTGTATTTCAGGTAGGAATTTTGCAGTACCTACCTACTGTATTATATTATGTCATACAGTACCATGAATATATTGTATCGCCCGTGAAATTCTGTGCAAAAAATTATTATTTTCAGACGTGATGAGCTTTCTGTTTTTCTTTTATTGTCTCTGATCTATGTTTCTGTTGTATTTTAATTGTTCTTCTTTCTGGTATACTCATTTATACATCTAGCGATGTAAACCCCGTGATTACATTCGATATTGTACTTAATTAATTTAATTAATTTTCAAGTTTAGCGAACTCTTTTTTTTTATATATACAAGTTTTATGTGTGTAATGGTTATTTTAGTGTTATTCTGATTAGTATATATATATATCACATAATTCATAGTCATTTCTTAAACCTGTATGAGGCAGATTATTCAAACAGTTTTTGATTATTCAATTTATTGACGATTTTACCTCTTTTCAGAATCATTTTTTTTACTGTAAAGTTGTACAATGGGCGATCTGCATTGTGCTCTCCGCGAGACTCGAACCCAGAAATATAGTGTTATGAGCTCTCAAACTTAGCGCTGAGCCACTGGGTGATTCATAATTAATTATATGAAGTCGTGATGATTTGATGATATACTTGTACTCTGAGTATTTCGTACATTTTAAAAGCACTTTTCTTAATATTTATCTCCAATAAATAGATAGAGGTTCCTCAGAACGTGTATCAATATCCCAATGAATATTTAAAAACTCATAAAACAGGAACTTTTCTATGAAATGAAATATTTACACAATACTAAATCTTGCACATATTTCTATTTACTATGGCTTACAAAATCAAACTCACCATTACTTGATCCACTCTTCTCTATACTAGTACTAACAAGGATGACTATTAGTGGATAGAAATACCGAAGAAAACACATGGTCGTAGAATGAACAGATGTCTATAGCAATTGCCAGCGAGTTACATAGCGAGCTAATCCTTTCAATTACAAGCAATGCTAATGATTGGTAAGCTTCTTTGTGCTGATCTGCATCAATTACAAGCAATGCTATTGATTGGTAGGCTTCTTTGTGCTGACCTGCATTAAGGAGAGAACAGCTCGAGCGCCAACTTTATAAAGTTCGTGACGCTGCTGAGAGAAACACTTGGTTCGCCAGCAATGGTCACGACGTGCACCATCTGAGAGACTTGCGCAAGCGCAAATAGTAGTGTGTAAAGCTCGTGATCTATGGAAAATTGTCATCAAGATATATAAGAAATTAAATAGAGTTTAATAACAGATTTAAAAAAGACAAACCCTATATAGTAGTAGAAGGTAAATAAGTTTCACATTTACTACTTTTATTTTATTTTTATCTAACGTTTGGTTATGGTAATTGTTGGTCATTTAGATTAAAAAGACGACAGGTTCTGTTGTATTTCACTAACAAAAATAATACTATTTTACTATTTTGAACACTATCAAACTGCGTATTATCAAACAAAGCCATTGCATTAAATTCAGAAGCAAGTATTCATTTATGACTTATCAAATTGGCTATAGAGATGGTACACAATAAATGTGGTTATCGGTGACCTCTGAAAGAAGCATTTCAGAGGCATATAACACCTAAAACAGCTGCTCTAAGACACATAGGATTTGGCTAATATCTCATTATTACGCATTCATAACGTGGTCATGAAATGTAGACAATATTATAGAATTAATGTGCTACCTTTAAAAAAACATAACATCTAGCAATATAATTTCAAATGGAAATTTATAATAACTAACTCCCATTCCGAGACGTGATAGTTACCAAAGTAGATAACTCATATAACATAGGAATTCACATATTACACACAGATACTGATAAATACCTCCATTATAAGGAATTCACAGATTACACACAGATACTGATAAATACCTCCATTATAAACCATATCAACAGACGTAATAAACTGCTAGTTTCCGGAGTGAACAATGTTGGTAATACAGAAAATTCACAGATTACACACAGATACTGATAAATACCTCCATTATAAACCATATCAACAGGCGTAATAAACTGCTAGTTTCCGGAGTGAACAATGTTGGTAATACAGAAAATTTTATAATAACGAAAAAATACATTATAATAATCCCTCTTGACAACGGATACCTTAAACATTTGATAAGGAAGAAAACAAACAATAGTCAACACCAAAAATAAGCAGGAATAACATAACAAACATTCAACTATACTCCCCTATATCAAGGTATATTTAAATAGCAGAAAGTCACAAAAAATATTCAGAAACAACACAAAACGATCGTAGCCGTACACGTCAAACCACTTAAGAGACTGAATGGAGAACACAAACACTAAATGTATTGGAAAAACCGACAAAAATATTATAATTATAATAAGCATAATAGACATTTAAGACGTGCACTATCGACTGTCTACAATTGCCCATTATGCCAGTGAGAAAGGCCAAATAATAGAATAGAATAACATTAAAATAATGGGATATGAACAACATGCGAGAAAAAGAAAGACAATGCAGCCTTCTACATCAATTAGATACCCATCTTAAAAGTATTGAAATAGTTAGTTCATCTTAGTTCTAATGGGGAGACTCAGGATGAGTTAATAGTGCAATAACCGTTTTTTATGAAGACGATCCAGGCTCGAATCTTGGTTACCACCACAGGGGAAACAATACTTCTAAGGACATCCTTATAAGCGGCAGTAAATTATTTGTCGAAAAATATGAAAACTAATCATCATTTGTTAATAAAAAATATTAACTAATAATTTGACTGAGGTGATCGCATATATTACTAATCATAATAACGATTTATACCCAATCACCATAAACTTACAGTTAGTAGTTAACTACTGATCTTTTTAAATCTGAGGAGTGTGGAAAAATATCATAGTATAAATGCATACAAAACAGTTTCCAAGCAAGTACTGTGTCACAAAGATCATTGTCACATTTTTAATTGTAGGAATAAGTAAAGGTATAAAATAAAAATGAACTATGATGTTATGAAGAAGAAGGTATATTAACACCTCTTATGCTTTCATATAAAATTGTTTTTAGGCTAATTTTATAGTCTAAATTAATGTTCCATAAAATAATATTATTTTTTTGAGAAGTTTTTGGAAAATTTGTTGGCGTATGTAATTATTTTTTTTCTATATTTTGTAAAGCATATGCGCAATATCTTGATTCAAGAAAATTAAAAATAACATATGCAATTATTTTCATAACTTAACTACTACCAAAATATTAACATGAGTAGAAGAACATTGATAGCATGTGTTAATTAGTAAAGAACAAGTGTCAGTTTTTGTCAGATATAAAAAACTAAAGAGATTTGCGGCTCATTCAAAGTTTTAGGTGTTCTAAGTTGTTTGAAACCAGAAGACATAACACAAAGTTTTAAGTGTTATAAGTTGTTTGAAACTAGAAGACATGACACACAAAGTTTTAGGTGTTATAAGTTGTTTGAAACCAGAAGACATAACACAAATTTTTAGGTGTTATAAGTTGTTTGAAACCAGAAGACATGACACACAAAGTTTTAGGCGTTATATGTTGTTTGAAATCAGAAGACATAACATACAATGTTTTAGGTGCTATATGTTGTCTAAAACCAGAAGGCGTAAAGCACAAAGAGGATCCACTGTTTAATCCCATGTTTTTAGGAAAACGAATTGCTAAAAAGTATACGATTTGTTTCAAAGTACTGGCGTATTCATGTATATCATAGCTATTTTTGTAAATGCTGATTATTACGGTGTTTAATTGTTAATCTTTTCATACATGCGCATTATTTGAGCCTAGACTGATGATGCTTATTTTGTGTTTAGGTGCTAATTGCCGAGACAGGAAATAATACACTGTCATAAAACGCCCCCCCCCCCAGTGGCACAGCGGTATGTCTGCGGACTTACAACTCTAGAATCCGGGTTTCGATACCCGTGGTGGGCAGAGCACAGATAGCCCATTGTGTAGCTTTGTGCTTAATTACAAACAAACAAACAAATAAAACGGGAACGTAATTTAACAATTAAAAAACAAACCTCTACTATCAGTGATAGTATCATTTGGATTTAAAATCTGAGAAATAAAGAAAATACGCTACTCTTGGCCAAGGCAGATAATATGTAATTAATGTTGCTTAGTGAAAAAGCCCTGATTATAATATACCAAAAGCAAACTGTGATGTAAATGCCTGAAAGTTAAATAATTTTGTGCCTTCAAGCTACAGGGGGATTTTGGGAAGTAATTTGAATACATAAACGTTTAAAGTTTTGTCTTTTACAAATTTTATGACTATTAATATAATTACTTTTGTGGAAAGGTTAAACTATGAAAGTTTAACTTTTATGCAATGTAATAGCTTTCTGTATTATACTTTGTTCAGTATTTTCTTCGTTCATAAATATTTTGAATCTCTGCTAAAGTAAATATTTTTCATCCTCATTTCTCCAACATTTACAGAAGGATACAGAAATCTGCGTATCCTCGTGAAGCATCAACATTTGCATAAAAATATAGCATATTTCTATATGATTATCAAATGTGTAATTAATACTAAAGAAACAATGTTAATCTTGCTGTATTTTATGCACAATTAACTTTGTACCATGACACAGCCTATCAGCTATGTACTATGTAATCTTGAAAATTTTCTGCACTTATCACAATAATTGTTAGTTTGTTGGCCGTCACTCTCCCGTAATTTGAATTATATTTTCCGGAGAGGGGTTGTCAATTACCATAATAAAAATATTATTTTGACAGTTATCAGATAGAAGTAAACCGTTTAATTGACAATAATAACACCATATCTTAATGACAGTAATTTATGTGTTAAGCTCTCTCGCTTAATATTTAATGTGTGATGGTAAATAAAATTTATTTTATTGTTGTAAATCTATTTCTAAGCATGAATTTCAATGATGATGATGTTGCGAAACAAGATTAAATAAAGAGACATGAACTTGATACACAATGTGATAAAATAGATAGATCTTTATGGCAGACTTCTCAGGGAAAACGTTGTTGAATAATGAAATAAATCAACAAAAATGATGGACAAATTATTTAACTACTTTGGCATATCTGTACATCAGAGGACTTCTGTTGTTTTTGGTTTAATATTTCAGCTAATTTTTTTTATGATTACAAACCAGAGTCCTGTTTGAAAGTAACCAATTTACTTTCAATTGAGATTTTCTTTAAATGTTTCTCCTTCCGTTAACTGTACGAGTCATTTACTGTGTTTTCATGGTTACATCTGATAGCTACTTTATATGCCATTTTTTTATATATATTTTCTTTTTCACAAATTATAAGTTCCGGTTTTGAAGCCGAGAAACTAACTATAAGAAATTACATTTAAACCGCGTTTTCATTTTTATTGCTAACGTAAAAATAAAACCTCCCTGTATGTAAATTTCTTGCTTGAATACGTAGCTCAACTAGTGAAATTTTCATGATGCTGGTGGCCTATGTGAAAAAGGTTTGGTTGGGTTTTGAATTTCGCGAAAAGCTACACGAGGGCTATTTGCGATATCCATCCCTAATTTAGCAGTCATCACTACCCCTCACCAACTCTTGGGCTACTCTTTTACCAATGAACAGTGGGATTGGTTGTAACATTATAACGTCCCCACAGCAGAAAAGGCGGGCATGTTTGGTTGAAAGGGAATTCGAACCTGCGACCCGTAGATTCCGAGCCGAGTGCCTTAACCACCTGGTCATGTTTGTTAGAACTTTGTAGAGTAGCTTCTAATGAGAGTATTCCTGTATTCTAATTCTATTGTTTGTTACCTTAAGAAGAAGTTATCATTCTAGATATATAAGTAGCTATCCCTGTACTTGAGCACCCAAAGGATGCTGCCTTTATGTAGGGTCGCCAACTGGATGGAAATCAAAGGATGCCGCCTAGGGTTGTATACATATTAAGTAATATGTAAATTATGCCAACACCTAAGGAATATACAAAGGATGTTGCGGCCTGCAGTTATAAAACAGTTATGTAATAGACAAAGGTCGCTGTCT